AAGTGCTCCATAAAGGGTAGTTCTTTTTATTTGGAGCCCCAGGGAAGGGCTCCAGTGAATTCAGGGTCATATGTCTAACAGCTCATCATGGAAGAGAGAAAGTTGGGTCCGGTAGAGAACAAAGAATAAATAGTGAAAACACAAGGCTGTCACCCCACAAGGAGCCCCTGTGATGAGAGTAAGTGGGCCATGGATCTATCCAACAGAGTAGCTCAGATGTCTGTACCCCTGGGACTCCCCGAGGCTCCGGTAATGCCTTTCAAGCCTCCTTGCTATGGATATGCTTGGACCTGTACACACCACCCAGCGCTTGCCCAGAATTGGCTCCATCCTCATGCTTATATTTTCTAAGCAGTCATAGAATATATTGATTTAATTTATTCAGTTCCTCAACAAATATTTAGTGACTGTCTTGTCTATGCCAGACACTATCCTAGGACAAGACACATCCAAGGATATAGTGCTGAATAAGCCAGAGAAAGGGCCTGTCCTTACGGAGCTTAAATGTATTTTGCAAAGTGAGGTAGATTTTTTACTCATTCAGGAATCAAGATGGTGCCTAGGATGAGTCTCAGCCTAGCAGAGGTCCTATTAGGAAAGCACACACAGTAGATACTTACCTGCTCACTGATTAAATCGATGAATATACAATTGTGAGGCATACAAAGAGAAGATGGGAGAGAAGAGAGATGGGGTCATTCCCGTTCTTCTTGGGGACCAGTTGCTCCCTCCATTAGGAATGACCAAGAACAAAAGAATGAGACTGGCTTTGAGATTTGACCATGTGCTAGCTATTGGAAAGATGAATTTTGCAATAAACGACAGACTAATTCCTGCCTGTCCAGCTAAACATTCTTTCTTGTTTTCCCTATGTCTGAGTGAGCTCAGAGCATTTTACCATATCATCCCAAATGCTGGAAGGTCCATCCTGATCCCAAGTTTCACTGAGCATATTTTGGGGTATGGTGAGTTGGCTTTCCAAGTTTTTAAATCTTGAAATTCATTTTTAATTAAGCTGATAAGTGAACAACTGACATTATTTTAATTTAACTTCAATTGACATAATGTTGCCCAGTCCATCTTACTGTATTTAATTACATTAAGTCAGGGTTTCTCAACCTTGGCACTATTGAAATTTGGGAACAGGTGATTCTTTGTGGTCCTGTACATTGTAAGATGTTTAGCAACCTTCTTGCCTTCTACCTACTAGATGCCAGTGGCTTTCCCCCAGGTTGTGACAACCAAGAAGTATCTCTAGGTATTGCCAACTATCCCCTAGGAGAAAAATTATCCCACAGTTAAAAACACTGCATTGCATGTATCTGGCTACATTTCTTGAGCTACATCTGCTCTGATGTCGAGTATGGATACTGCTGCACACAAGCTATATGACGTTGGGCAGGCCTAGCCTGAAAGTTGGCTTTGTCATCTGAACAAAGTTGGTTCTGAAGCCTGGCATTATGGTGAGGTTTAAAAGATGACATGTGTAAAGGGCCTGAACAGTGCAGAAGCTCAGTGACTGATCACATCTTATTTTTTGGTTGATAGACTGAGAAAGAACTAACCTCCATGTGGTCTAAGAACTCCCTGGCAGGACATGAGTGATGTGGAGCAACAGTTAAGGGCACAAGCTTTGGGGGTGAGACAGACCTAGATTCAACTCCTGGATCCACCATCTAATCACTATGTGATAATTTTGGTCAATGTGTGTAACCTCTCTGCCTCAGTTTCCTTATCTGACAAAAATAATAACAGTACCCTTCCCATAGAGTTTCTATGTTGTGAGGATTAAACAAGATCATGAACGTGAAACACTGAGCACCATGCCTGTGGCTGAGTCAAGTTTGCTGAATTACTATTAGTTATTGTTGCTATTATTATCGGTGTTATTTCACCCTTGGGTCCCTTCCTGGGGGTAGCTTCAAAGCAGATAGTGGCCTCTTTCCAGGGGTTTCCTATGGAGCCAGAGTAGTTCAGTCAACAACTTCCCTAATGAGCTCAAGACTCCATCAGCAGGACCCTTTGTTTTCTTAGGAGCCCTCTGTCAACATGGTTTCCGTTCTTGCATCAACATTACACCAGCCGCATGTTCACCAGCCTGCTCGGGACTCAAGACTATCAATTGCTAAGTGGAGTAAATGATACCCATTGTTAAAACAGGGCAAATGCCTATTTCCTTTACACAATGGAAGGAACTGTTGTAGGCTATTAAGTAAAGAACTATAAATAACACACTATAAAATGCTTTACATATGCCTTATCGCACTGAACTGCAACACTGAAGTAGCTGTTATGGCTGGGTAAATTATATGTGTTTTTAAACACTGTCTAAAATACATATTTACACATACTTTAAATCCTACACTAAAAAGTCGCTATAGCAACCAGCAAAACACAAAAGCCTTATTAAGCATTCTTTGTAGTATTTTTAGGATTTTAATCATTAGGAGAAAACTCACAGGCCACGTAGACACCAGGGAACATGAAGAAAGAAAGTCTTTATAGGACCAAAAGAATGAGGCTGGCTTTGAACCTGGTGGGAGAGGATTTTATTTTTTAAAACTAATAATCACCAAGGGCCTTCTCTTTGTGAAGGCAGTGCTGTGTTTGGGGTACATCAGACACAATTTTGGAATTGCAATCTGGTTTCTCAGCAGAGAAGAGAGATTCTTCAGTTAACATATTCCAGCAAAAGATCACTTTCAATCTTTTCTCTTTAGTCACACCAAGAAAATATTTCCTTGCCATTCGAACATGAAGTAATCTGTAATGTCTGATGTCTGTGTTGAGCCTGAGTCACATAACTCTTTGAAGGGAAATTCTAGTGGTTTCATTGGGGTGGGGCCATGTTATATCATTTGAGTGCTGTGTTTATCCGACTGCCAATGGCATGCTAAAATAACGAGCCCTAGACATATCAGCAACTTAACACTTAAAAAATTTCTTGCTCATGCTGTGTCCAGTGCCAGTTGGTGCAGTTTCTGCTCCATGTTGTCACTCAGGGACCCTAGGGAACTCTGTTGTTGTGTGATGCCACCACCCAAATGCTTGCTTTCCAGGATTCTGCAGCAGGGCAAGAGAGAGCTGGGGAGTGGCTTCGTGGCCCAGAAGCGGCACACCTCATTTCCACTCACATCCCACTGGTCAGAACTCAAATCACGTAGCTGCAACAAAAGATAGATAGCGGAGCATGTGGAATATTTAGTCAGCACTAAACATCTTTGGGAAAAATATTACTTAAATGTCAGAACTATGCCAGATACTTTTTACTGCTTAATCTTATCTTTAAAACAACTTTGCAATGCAAAATTTCCCCATTCACTGTTGGGCAGACAGGCTCAGCAATCTTAAATGACTTGTTTAAGGTCACTCAACCCAATATTGGAAGGATGAATTAAATTTAGGTCAATCCATAGCTAAATATAAGACTCTGTGACCCAGTAGTTCCATTCCTGAGTACTTTCCCCCAAATGCACACATATGTTCACTAAAATGCATGTTTATACAATGTTCATAGATGCACTCTTCATAAGAGCCCCAAACTGAAAACATCCCAAATCCACCAATGGAATAAAGAAATTGATTGTGATGTATTAACACGATGGGATACTCTATCGTACTGAGAATGAATAAATAAATGATAGCTATCTACAAACATGAACAAATGCCACAAATAGTTCGTTGACTAAAAAAGTCATATACAAAGAGTTCATACTGTATGAGTCCATATTGTATTATTCAAGAGCAAGAAAAATTAATCTATGGTGATAGATGTCAGGATAATGATTACCTTGGAGTCCGGTAGTGATGAAGAGGGTACCTGTGCAGAGCTTCTGTGTTTCTGGTAATGTCCATTTATCTGGATGCTAGTTATATGGATATGTTCAGTTTGTAAAAATTTATTTAGCTGCACAATTATAACTCTGTGTATTGCTCTCTATACGTTACACTTTAATAATAAATTTACTTGAAATAAACAACTTAAAAAGTAGAAATTCTAGATTCAGATCAAACTTATTTCAAAGCCCTGAGCTTTATCATGGAGCACTCATTTCTTCCCCAAACACGTTGAAAGGAAGCTCATTGCCAGCCTTTAAAGAGTTCAGCTTGATTCCTGCCCTACTGACACAGCCCATCCATGAAGACAGGTCCTTAGAATCACGGTTTGGACAGAAACTTGCAGAAAATTTGAAAGAATTGTCAAAGTCAACTACAATTCACTCTAATAGTGACTTTGGTAAGATAATTTTCTCTCTTAAAACCAATTGTAAACCTGGATCTCCACAGGACGGAGGGAAAGACAATGGAATTGTTTCCTCCTCAGGCTAGAGGAATGGACATGGCCAAGTGTAGAGGAGAGAATGAAACCTATATTAAAACAAACCCCCAAACCAAGACAACAATAATGTAGATTAGCGCCTGGGCTGTTCCCATCCATTTTTTTGGAGCCGTCATAAAACTCAAAAACCATTGTACCTGCCCAGCTAAAATGAACTGACAACTGCAAGATTAATCCTATTGTTGCCCTGCGCCTCCCCTCTTCCCTTAACACACCCAACACCAAAACAGCAATTTGGTGGAGCCCTGACTGCCAAAAGACGCTGTTGTCTTAGAGACGGTATTAGTGGTAAATCCTCAAGCTGTTTTATAAGTACCTCCTAGGTTGGCAACAGAAGGCTAAACACAGAACTGCAAGATGAGCTTGAATTTAATTTTGCAGTTTTCATCTGTCATCATGTTATGACAGTATGGTATTCTGGGCTTTGCAGAAGGTGCCGGGCAGGAGCGTAATACTCCTACTGGGAAGGACTTCTCTCCCATCTGTTCCTGTCTTGGAGGCAGTGTTTGTGGGATCATGGTTTTCAAAAGTCTAATGGAAGTCACTAGCAGCCACTCTAAAGACCTGTTAGGCTCTTAACCAGCGGCGCTCTTTCTCTGCATACTTTGTTCGCTCACTGACTTATTTTGCATGCCCTTTCTAAGTGCCTGTTTTGTTTTAGGTGCTGTACATGGCTCTAGGCATGCACTGGAGAGCAAAGAATATATACTCGCTGCCCTTGAGAAGCTTCTGATCCAGAGGGAGAAAAGACAAGTAAGTGAGAAATTTTCAGAGATGCCAATGAATGTTGCAAGTCAGAGTAAGTGGTGTGCTACAGGAGCAAATGGGGGAGCGAGATCACTTCTTGGAGGTAGTGATGTCTAGGCTAGAACGTGGAGTCCGGGGAAGCTGCTCTGGGCGCCCGCAGTGTTGCAATCACTGTGCCAGGCTTTGCAAATACGAGGCTGGAAAGAGGAAGGTCTGAAGGCTAAGGCAGCGCAGAGTTGGACGAGGCGTAAAGACAGTCACATGGACTATTTCAATAGCTTGCTGTTCGGCCCGGTGGGATCAGCTTGGTGGGTTGATGTCTGAGTTAACTCTGGACGAATAAGTAGCAGATAGCGGGGGAAAGCTTGGAGAGAGGACATGGGGGAAGCTCTAAGCGAGGGAACAGCATGTGCAAAGCGCAGTCGCGGAGCAGGGGGCCCATGGTGAGCGCTTGGCCTGCTGCAGTGCCACTGGAGTATGTAGCTGGAGGCGGGGAGCAGAGGGGTCTGGGTGGCGCTCCTGTGGCAATTAGTGACCCGTGGCAATTTTGGTGAATCACCCACTGGTGGTGGTGGCGATCTGAGGGCACTGTGTTTGATAAGATCGCCCTAATAACAGTATGGGGAAAGGATGGCATCCGAATCCAAGTCAGTGTGACCACTGTACCAGCAGCACCCACAAGCCTTATGCTTTCCTCCCTCCCTCTGGGCTGTTAGAAACACGGAATCTGACCCAGAGAACGACCACTGGGAGCAGAATAATCTGTTATCCTGCGTTTCGCCTGTGGACACACGGCCTTGGTGCAGATTTATACAACTGCATTTAGGACCGATGATAGAATCATTGTTATTTTTATCCCTTCCATGACACAAACCAAGGGGAAAAAAATCATAATAAAATTTTACAAGTTAGCTGCCACCAAGAATAAACAAGAGAGCACTATCCGAAATGAATCAGGGGCTCTAACCGAATCTCCTCTCAGGACAATAACTCTAATGCAAGGCCTGGGTCTGAGGAGGTCGCAGTGCAAAACTCTCCTGGGGCAATTCCGAGGAGAAAGGAGATATTCTCCTCCTGTCATCTTCACTTCATGTCCTAATATGTCTGTGGATGTGCAGAGAAAACATAATCTCCGGCCTCTGCTCTGAATCAAGGTTTGGCTAACCAGGACCATTAAGGCATCCCTAAGGATCAGAGAATTAACCCTCTGTGAACCCGGGGAAGCCACCAGAAGAAAGCTGCTCCATTCTAATAGTGATTGAGCCAAAATGTCACTTGCCATTAAGTTCCATTGGCATTTTTTTCCTTTTAAAATTACACAATTACCTTTAAATTGTGTACAGGAGCTCATAACTGCTGTCCATTGGAGGTAATCGGGAATGATTACATTTTGCCCATGGACGGGCTGCCTCTTCTAGAGTCTTTTTGTCCATTAAGTCTCTGCCTATGTCAGGTTCCATTTAAGTATCAATGAGAAATAAATTCTGTAGCACAGGAGACATTGCATGTTTGCTTTTTAGAGTTACCGCCTTTGTTAGCTGACGGTTCTTTAGAGATTCTCCTGAAGCCTCTCGTGTGTGCGTGGCAGATATGCATTCTGCATGTCTCCTAGGTGGTCTAGAGACATATCATGGCAATGGGCTGACCCCATGAATTCTCCAAAAAAAACCAAACACCTGGAAAGACAGTCTAAACTTAGTCATTCTTTGCTGCCTTCAATTGAGGTAGCCTTAGTGTAACTGCTGATAGACCGAGTTGTAGAATTATTCTTCCCTTCATTCACTCACTCACTTGACATGACCCTTGTGCATCTGCCGTGCGTGAGACGTTGGGCCTGGCGCTGGGCTCAGTGGTGAGCAGGGAGCGTAGAGCAGTGGTGGACAGACACAATTAAGCAAGCGATTCCTTTACAGTGTGGTAGGGAGATGACGGGGAGAGAAAGAGGCCCAGCTTCGGCACATCTATTCCAGTGCTGAGGGCGCAGGCAAGGCTCCTCAGAGGGAATTAGACCGAAGCTGAGCCCTGAGGACTGGGGAGAGTTTCACTGGCTGAGACATCTGGAGGTGGGAAGGCAGGTGGGCAGGCTGAAGATGGAAAGCAGGTATATGGGCACGAAGAAGGCAGAGCAGGGGCCAGGTTGTCCGGGAAGGGTGAGGGCGGAGGGAGGCTGGGATCATATCACAAGGAGCTCTGTAAGGCTTATTAACCAGCGTGGACTTTATCCTGAGGGTAAAGGAGAAGAGAGGAGAGGTGTGACCAGACATGCATTTTGGAAATATCGCTGTGGACATTCTATTCATAGTCTATGATTGGTCCTATGGAGATCCGATGCATTTGTAAACCTGGTGAGACCTCACGTTGCAATGTCTCTTTCCCCAGAAACAACCTTGAACCAGCTGCACCCTTTGATTTTGATCTTTTACCCCAAGAACACCCCTCTGTGCTCCATTTATTCCAATTCTGCATGTAATAGAATAGAGTCACAGTAAACCCATCTAAAGAGGTTCACAGCCAAGAGTTGAAGTCATGACAAGAGCGTTAACACCCATGGCCCAAGACCCTATCCAGAGACCACTTGTAAACAGAGGTAGTCTTAGGGTTAGCTATGGCAAAATGAATTAAATGGCTGTAATGTCAAGTTCTTCTACTTTACTGATAGCAGAAGTTTAAATGTTATGAGTTGTAACATTTCTGACATCAGCCAGCATTATGTTAGAGAGACCACTGGACTTAGGGTCTTAAGATACAAATTTGAAGTTCAGTTATGTCATTAATACCTTAGGCACGGTATTAAAGACTTTGTAGTTCCATTTTTTTTCCATTTAAAAAGTTAGTGTGACTCCTGCAGCCCAAGAAGTCATGAGGACTCAATGATGTAGGCATAGCATATTGATACGCAAATAGGTATTTATTGAACGAATGGAAAAGAGACATTGGAGACCCTCTGACTCTCTAGGCTATAGTCTCCTCATTTGTAAAATGAAAAGGTTGGGTTAGATGCTTTTGAATTCTTTACAGCTCAAATCTGTAATTTCCTGCTGCTTCCCTATTTTAGAGGCTTGTACTTAGCATGTTGTGCTAAGTATAAGAAAATTTGGTTTGGTGTCCTGTAATGTCAAAGGACAAGAAATAAAAGATTTCTGAGAGAAGAACCCTTAGTGACTCCTCTGGCCTCCCTAAAATTGCTCTTATCCCAAAAGCCAGGTGATGAGAAGAATGCTCATTTGCTGCTGTGACTGGCTTTATGTGACTCCCTAGTGAAGACTTGGTCTCAGAGGATGCGACTGACAGCAGGTTTCCTGGAAGACCACTTTGCACTGTAGAAAAAAATTGCTTTATCCTTTTATGTATCTCATGAAACACTATTGATGCACTGTTCATGCTAAAAAAAAAAAAGAACAAACTTTGTGGTTCTTCCGAAGGACTAGAAGGGAGATGATTCTGAGTGCAGAAAATCTGATATCTGATATTGAATATATGTTCTTGCTGGCACCTGAAAGGTGATTGGATTTGGAATGTAAGTTCCCCTGGGAATTACCGCCTCTCTGCAGCACCTTTGCCGTACACACATTCTACCTTTGCTGTATTTAAAGAATTTATTCTTTCTTATTAGGTGGGCATTGGCTTCACTCAGTATTGAATGCCTCAGCAGATAGGCCTTTACTATGGCGGTGTAACTAAGAATAGCACATGTGGAACTCTTCCAAAGACACGAGAATGGAACATTTGGGGGAACAAAAACCCTATCTATGTAGGAATGTCTAAAGTATGCCCTAATCACAGTTGAAATATCTCTAGGATGACAGTGGCTTATCTCCTATATTGTTGGGACCTAGGACCTGGTGTTTTCTGAATTATCAGTATTTTCTCTTTTGGTGCTTCAGAGAAGGCTGACTATAGTGTTGATCACAAAGGACCATCCAGATGCCAACCCTAGAATGCAACCCTCAAACCTTAGGAAACAGCTGCAAATCTGCTACTCAAGACGCTGTGGCAAGGTTAGAGAGCAAAACCACAGTTTCAACCTTGCTTTTTCTGGGAGTCTGGGATAACCTCTCTGTATGCGGCTTCCCCAGTATGGCCTGCCTTTTATTATGATCTCCCCTTTGATGTGCGTCTCTTAGCGTGAACGTTACAGTCCCAGGAGATAGGAGACTAGTTACCCATTCCCTTTCTCTAGACATTGTCTGGCACATAGTAGGTACACAAAATATTTTTCTAATAAAAGGTATAGTATATTGATTAGTGTTGCATTTTAATTATCTGCCTCCCTCACTAGATTGCAAGCTCCATGAAATACAGACCTCATTTTTTTCCCCTCTAAATACTGTGTTAGAAGAGTGCTGGTTGCTAGTGTTCAGTAATTATTTACTGAATGAGTGAATGAATAAACACACAGAAACCCAAATAACCAATTTAAAAGGGAAGAGAGTGGTCAGTCTCGTTACTTAATACCTTTGCACTCAAACTTCACTTCGCAGAACAAACATATTGTGCTAAAAATGGTTGTTAAATTAATTCATCTATTTCTGTATTCTGATTCATCAATACGCTTTGTATGTTTGGATGTATTTTAAAATTCTGACACTAAAATAATTTTAGTACCTTTTTTTAAAAAACAGCTCTATTGAGGTATAATTGATATCTAATAAACTGCACATATTTAAAAGGTACAATTTCATAAGTTGTGATATATGTAGACACTGGGAAACCATCACACAAGATAATAAACATATCCATTATCCCCAAAAGTTTTCTCGGGTCCCGTGGTAATCCCTCCTTCTTGTTAGGCAACCACTGATCTGCTTTTTGTCATATATGTTTGTATTTTCTAGAATTTCATGTAATGGAATTGCACAGTGTGTACTCATTTTTGTTTGGCTTTTTTCACTCATCACAATTATCTTGAGACCAATCCATGTTGCAGTGTGTACCGAGAGTTCATTCTTGTTTTGCTGAGAAATATCCCATTGTATGAATATTCCTCTGTTTAACCATCCACCTGT